ATCCCAGTTTATCTAGTTTTAATAGTAAGTTTCATCTATTATTGACTGAAGTATCAGTCCAGGGAGCTCCTGTCTCCCTTGCTTGCTGGGTTGGAATCCCAGTTTATCTACTTTTAATAGTAAGTTTCATCTATTATTGACTGAAGTATCAGTCCAGGGAGCTGCTGTCTCCCTTGCTTCCTGGGTTGGAATCCCAGTTTATCTAGTTTTAATAGTAAGTTTCAACTATTATTGACTGAAGTATCAGTCCAGGGAGCTCCTGTCTCCCTTGCTTACTGGGTTGGCTTCCCAGTTTATCTAGTTTTAATAGTAAGTTTCATCTATTAATGACTGAAGTATCAGTCCAGGGAGCTCCTGTCTCCCTTACTTGCTGGGTTGGAATACCAGTTTATCTACTTTTAATAGTAAGTTTCATCTATTATTGACTGAAGTATCAGTCGTGGAGCTGCTGTCTCCCTTGCTTGCTGGGTTGGAATCCCAGTTTCTCTAGTTTTAATACTAAGTTTCATCTATTATTGACTGAAGTATCAGTCCAGGGAGCTGCTGTCTCCCTTGCTTGCTGGGTTGGAATCCCAGTTTATCTAGTTTTAATAGTAAGTTTCATCTATGATTGACTGAAGTATCAGTCCAGGGAGCTGCTCTCTCCCTTGCTTGCTGGGTTGGAATCCCAGTTTATCTAGTTTTAATAGTAAGTTTCATCTATGATTGACTGAAGTATCAGTCCAGGGAGCTCCTGTCTCCCTTGCTTGCTGGGTTGGAATCCCAGTTTATCTAGTTTTAATAGTAAGTTTCATCTATGATTGACTGAAGTATCAGTCCAGGGAGCTCCTGTCTCCCTTGCTTGCTGGGTTGGAATCCCAGTTTATCTCGTTTTAATAGTAAGTTTCATCTATTATTGACTGAAGTATCAGTCCAGGGAGCTCCTGTCTCCCTTGCTTGCTGGGTTGGAATCCCAGTTTATCTAGTTTTAATAGTAAGTTTAATCTATTATTGACTGAAGTATCAGTCCAGGGAGTTGCTGTCTCCCTTGCTTCCTGGGTTGGAATCCCAGTTTATCTAGTTTTAATAGTAAGTTTCAACTATTATTGACTGAAGTATCAGTCCAGGGAGCTCCTGTCTCCCTTGCTTGCTGGGTTGGCTTCCCAGTTTATCTAGTTTTAATAGTAAGTTTCATCTATTATTGACTGAAGTATCAGTCCAGGGAGCTCCTGTCTCCCTTGCTTGCTGGGTTGGAATCCCAGTTTATCTAGTTTTAATAGTAAGTTTCATCTATTATTGACTGAAGTATCAGTCCAGGGAGCTGCTGTCTCCCTTGCTTGCTGGGTTGGAATCCCAGTTTATCTAGTTTTAATAGTAAGTTTCATCTATCATTGACTGAAGTATCAGTCCAGGGAGCTCCTGTCTCCCTTGCTTGCTGGGTTGGAATCCCAGTTTATCTAGTTTTAATAGTAAGTTTCATCTATTATTGACTGAAGTATCAGTCCAGGGAGCTCCTGTCTCCCTTGCTTGCTGGGTTGGAATCCCAGTTTATCTAGTTTTAATAGTAAGTTTCATCTATTATTGACTGAAGTATCAGTCCAGGGAGCTCCTGTCTCCCTTGCTTGCTGGGTTGGAATCCCAGTTTATCTAGTTTTAATAGTAATTTTAGTTTCATCTATTATTGACTGAAGTATCAGTTTAGGGAGCTCCTGTCTCCCTTGCTTGGTGGGTTGGAATCCCAGTGTATCTAGTTTTAATAGTAAGTTTCATCTATTATTGACTGAAGTATCAGTCCAGAGAGCTCCTGTCTCCCTTGCTTGCTGGGTTGGAATCCCAGTTTATCTAGTTTTAATAGTAAGTTTCATCTATTATTGACTGAAGTATCAGTCCAGGGAGTTCCTGTCTCCCTTGCTTGCTGGGTTGGAATCCCAGTTTATCTAGTTTTAATAGTAAGTTTCATCTATTATTGACTGAAGTATCAGTCCAGGGAGCTCCTGTCTCCCTTGTTTGCTGGGTTGGAATCCCAGTTTATCTAGTTTTAATAGTAAGTTTCATCTATTATTGACTGAAGTATCAGTCCAGGGAGCTCCTGTCTCCCTTGCTTGCTGGGTTGGAATCCCAGTTTATCTAGTTTTAATAGTAAGTTTCATCTATTATTGACTGAAGTATCAGTCCAGGGAGCTCCTGTCTCCCTTGCTTGCTGGGTTGGAATCCCAGTTTATCTAGTTTTAATAGTAAGTTTCATCTATTATTGACTGAAGTATCAGTCCAGGGAGCTCCTGTCTCCCTTGCTTGCTGGGTTGGAATCCCAGTTTATCTAGTTTTAATAGTAAGTTTCATCTATTATTGACTGAAGTATCAGTCCAGGGAGCTCCTGTCTCCCTTGCTTGCTGGGTTGGAATCCCAGTTTATCTAGTTTTAATAGTAAGTTTCATCTATTATTGACTGAAGTATCAGTCCAGGGAGCTCCTGTCTCCCTTGCTTGCTGGGTTGGAATCCCAGTTTATCTAGTTTTAATAGTACGTTTCATCTATTATTGACTGAAGTATCAGTCCAGGAAGAGGGAGCTCCTGTCTCCCTTGCTTGCTGGGTTGGAATCCCAGTTTATCTAGTTTTAATAGTAAGTTTCATCTATTATTGACTGAAGTATCAGTCCAGGGAGCTCCTGTCTCTCTTCCTTGCTGGGTTGGAATCCCAGTTTATCTAGTTTTAATAGTAAGTTTCATCTATTATTGACTGAAGTATCAGTCCACTGAGCTCCTGTCTCCCTTGCTTGCTGGGTTGGAATCCCAGTTTATCTAGTTTTAATAGTAAGTTTCATCTATTATTGACTGAAGTATCAGTCCAGGGAGCTCCTGTCTCCCTTGCTTGCTGGGTTGGAATCCCAGTTTATCTAGTTTTAATAGTAAGTTTCATCTATTATTGACTGAAGTATCAGTCCAGGGAGCTCCTGTCTCCCTTGCTTGCTGGGTTGGAATCCCAGTTTATCTAGTTTTAATAGTAAGTTTCATTTATTATTGACTAAAGTATCAGTCCAGGGAGCTCCTGTCTCCCTTGCTTGCTGGGTTGGAATCCCAGTTTATCTAGTTTTAATAGTAAGTTTCATCTATTATTGACTGAAGTATCAGTCCAGGGAGCTCCTGTCTCCCTTGGTTGCTGGGTTGGAATCCCAGTTTATCTAGTTTTAATAGTAAGTTTCATGTATTATTGACTGAAGTATTAGTCCAGGGAGCTCCTGTCTCCCTTGCTTGCTGGGTTGGAATCCCAGTTTATCTAGTTTTAATAGTAAGTTTCATCTATTATTGACTGAAGTATCAGTCCAGGGAGCTCCTGTCTCCCTTGCTTGCTGGGTTGGAATCCCAGTTTATCTAGTTTTAATAGTACGTTTCATCTATTATTGACTGAAGTATCAGTCCAGGGAGCTCCTGTCTCCCTTGCTTGCTGGGTTGGAATCCCAGTTTATCTAGTTTTAATAGTAAGTTTCATCTATTATTGACTGAAGTATCAGTCCAGGGAGCTCCTGTCTCCCTTGCTTGCTGGGTTGGAATCCCAGTTTATCTAGTTTTAATAGTAAGTTTCATCTATGATTGACTGAAGTATCAGTCCAGGGAGCTCCTGTCTCCCTTGCTTGCTGGGTTGGAATCCCAGTTTATCTACTTTTAATAGTAAGTTTCATCTATTATTGACTGAAGTATCAGTCCAGGGAGCTCCTGTCTCCCTTGCTTGCTGGGTTGGAATCCCAGCTTTTCTAATTTTATTAGTAAGTAATAACTATGATAGACTGAAGATTCAGTCCAGGGAGCTCCTGTCTCCCTCGCTTGCTGGGTTGGAATACCATTTTATCTTGTTTTAATACTAGGTTTTAGCTATTACAGACTGAAGTTTCAGTTAAGGGAGCTCCTGTCTCCCTTGCTTGCTGGGTTGGAAATCCTAGGTTATCTAATGTTTTTAAAAAAGTAAGTTAAAAATAGTAAGTCCCATCTATCATATCTTTGTGTTTTCAGAGTGTTATCTGGCATAGAACCTTTATGCATAAGCACTGCCAATGGGGAGAGTTTATTAACTTTATATAAATGTTATGTATTATGTCATAGTTTAGAGAGCACCTGTCTCCCATTTTCGTCGAGTTGGAATGCCAGTTGACCTTATAAATTGTAAATTGCTTTTTATAAATATCAGAGTTTTTATGCATTCTAATACTTCAAGGAAGATACTTAGGAGCCATAATTTGTTAAGTCACTAAATAAAGATTGGGATTGCGGTTGTTACAAGCTCCAAGCTCTTACCGTTTTAAGAATATCCTGGTTTAGTTGGTTCAGCACTGAACAATTAATGACTGTACTTCTGTTAGATTGTTATTCGATTGTTACCTACATGAGTGAAGAAGACAAAAAAAATCAGTTAAAGCATAACAAAATGATGAAGTCAGATATGATTTGTTGAAATACTCTTTATCTGGCAGTCAAAATTTTATTGTGATAGGTTTTTGAAATCAGTGAGTACCTATCACAAGTTAGGTTCCCTAGCCTTAGCTAGTACATAATATCCCTAACCATGATTGCGTTATCTAATTTAAAGTGAGGAAAATTACTGGCACACAATGAAGATTTTTCAAATCGTTTTGTTTTGGGGGCCCACGCGTTTTAAACAACTTTAATATACCTGCACTTCTCTTAGATTGAGTTATCTAAAAAGAGTAAACAAAACGTACGTGCCAGCAGAGCAAAACATACCCTGCGAGCAGAGGCTACATTTTCGCGGTATGAGCTGGCGTGCGAAAAGTAGCCTCTGCCGACAACCGTTCAAATCCGTCCAGAAATCTGGACGAATAAATTAAAAAAAACGGGTTTTTTCTTGTTTTTGACCGGTTTCGAGCATTGCGTTAGTCTTGCGTGAGTCTTGCGTGAGTGTTGCGTAAGCGAATGAACGCTGACCGCTATTGCGCCTTCACGCATCCCTTCCCGCCAAATTCTCCCATGCGATCGCGGCTCGAACGCAGCATTCCTCAGCATTCCTGTAAGATGGCGGCGAAGGAAAGTTTCTCAATCGACGGGTGTGTACAAAAAGTGTTAGGCAAGTTGAAAAAGTTTGGTATAAACAAGTTATCGGTTTGTCAGAGCAAGGCTTTACGATTTTTTTTGTCCGGTTATGATACATTTGCCGTGCTTCCAACTGGACACGGCAAGTCGTTGATTTACCAAATGGCTGCTTTGATATCCAAGGAAAAACAAGCAGATCCGGTGATTTTTGTTGTTTCTCCTCTGAATGCTCTAATAAGAGACCAGATAAAAGAATGCGAAAAGTTGGAATTAACATGTGCAAAGTTGGAAGCTGGAAATATTGAATCGTTTAGAAAGGACTGCAAATGTGACGTTATTTTCGCCAGTGCTGAGGTTATGGAGATTCATAGTGCTCGCTTGTTAATGGAAGAGCTCGGAACACGAGTAATTGGCATTGTTGTTGATGAATCTCACTGTGTTGTTAAATGGTAAGCATGCTATATTTTAATACATAGGTCATTAAGGTTACCTCTGCTCGCAGGGTAACAGAAGGTAAGCTTGTGCTGGTCAATTAATCAATGTATCAGTTAACTTCTTACGGAGACCCGAAGTTTGGATTTTTAGTAGCCCAATTTAAGGAAGTGGACTTGTGCTAAGTAAAGAACTGTTTTGTAAAATTTTAAAGATGGGAAATTAAATAAAAGTGAGGTCTATCCACATCTGTTATTGTTGTCGTTTTTGTTCTCATGTTCGCCAGCAGATTTCGTACTGTTTTTATACCATAAAGTGTCCACATACATAAGCTTATGTATGTAAACAGAGCAACTTATTATATAAAACTAAGGAGTGGCTGGTAAAGGATATTTTAAAAGAAATTGATTTTCACGACACTATAGTTCCTGAGAAAGGAGAAGTCATTCGGACGGTAATCATTCGGACCAGGTTTTGATATTTTTTCTTGATCGTTATTATTGGTTAGCATGCATGTACTGGTTCAAATGTAATAAACTCATTGGTATGCCTCTTAAGTTTTCAGAATTGGGTAAAAACCTGCATGTAAAAAACTACTATTTTTAAGCCTGGCAATAAAGATTCTTTGCAAGGTCCATGAGGGTGTTAAAGTATCCTGGATAAACTATGATATGTGACACGAGAGAACGGATAGATGAACACAACCTTTTAATACACACAAGTAGCAAGATGGCGGGCCCAAAGAGACACCAAACTCGGGCCCAGTCCCTGACATAAAGCATACTATAACATCCCTCCTACTGTACAAAAAGGAATTGAACAAGAGTCCTTAAAGGTAATCAGTTCTTAAAAGTCAAGAGTAAAAATCCACTATTCCGCAAGGTGGGAAGTCCTTGGTAAAGTCTCAACAAATCCTGGCAACATATGGTGTGCATCAAAAGTCACTGCACTAAATCCTAAATTGGTATAACAATGGAGTACGCGTGGTAAGTGTGAACTTGAACAAACGAACTGGTATAGGCGCTCAACTCCTAAAACAAAAGGTTCTATTCAGTAAAACGAGCAGGTCTTATAATTGTACGCCCACTCCTGGTCCGATAGGTCCCAGGGTTCGCACTAGCACCGGGGGATCCAGGGGTGAGACCAACATCTCTTGTAGGACTGGACACAACGGTGTGCGGTGCCTTAGTAGACTTCGGAATATCATGAGAGGGTTCAACAACAGGGTCATCAGACTCGGTGATTGCAGGCTCATCCTCAGAGCTAATCACAGGTTGACCCGTGTTTGCCGGGCGAAGGTGGCGCCTGTTACGGCGAAGGATTGAACCAGATTGGGTTTTCACTTCATATGACCGCGGCTCAGGTCTTGTGCAACTCACAGTTCCTGGTAACCACTTCTTTGAAGCTTGGTCCTGTATGCGTACAGGTTGCCCTGTTGTCAGGGGACTTAGATCATGCGCATTCCGGTCATAGTAGTGTTTCATGGACTGCTGACGTTCTGTCAGGCGCTGGGCGACTTTGTCCCTGTCAGGTATTCGATTGTCCACTCTGACCGGAAGATTTGCTTGAAGTTTACGCTGATACAGTAATTCAGCAGGGGACGGAAGCTGTGAATCAATCGGAGTAGATCTAAGACAGAGCATTGACATGTAAGGGTCCTCTCCAGATTTTACAGCCTTGTCTAAAGTGTTTTTAACAGTCTGGACTTGTCGCTCAATAAACCCATTGGACTGTGGGTATCTGGGGCTGGACGTTATGTGTTGGAAGCCCCATTCGTTAGAGAACTGCTTGTAGCTTTGACAGTCATATTGTGGACCATTGTCCGAAATTATGACTTTCGGTACACCTTGTTCTGACATCACGCACTTTGTAAGCCTTACAACTGTTTGTCCAGTGGATTGTCCACTTGGTATTTTCTTGATGATGGGGAACTTGGAGTAATAATCACACATAAGCAGATATTCGTCCCCATGCCATGTGAATAGATCAGTACCAACTACTTGCCATGGTCTAGTAGGTACTTCATGTGGTTCCAGTGTTTCTTTGGTTTGTGTGGTTTGGCTTTCTTGACAAATTTCACACTTCTGGACTTTAGCTTCAATGTCCTTGTTAATATTGGGCCAAAATACACAGGATTTTGCTCGTAGCTGACACTTCGCAACACCTTGGTGAGCCTGATGTATCTTCTCTAAGATATCATCTCTTTGTGATTCCGGAATAATCACTCTTTCTCCCTTGAGTACTAGACCGTTTTCAATAGATAACTCGTCACGGTAGGCCCAGAACTTCCTCAATGGCACTGGAACTTGTTTCTGTTTTTCAGGCCAGCCAGAGTAGATAATTTCTCGTAGGGCTGAAAGTTCAGGATCACAGGACGTGTCTCGCCTCAAGGCATTCAACTTATCATCAGAGAATCGCACTAGGCATACTTTCTGAAGGTCCAGTGACTCTTCATTTGGTAGAGGGTTTAGTCTTGACATTGGGTCAGCAAGAAGCATTTCTGTGCCAGGTTTGTACTTGATAGTGAAGTCATATCCTTGTATTCTGAGTAACATTCTCTGGAGTCTTGGAGGAGCAGCTGTAAGATTCTTCAAATGAATCATCTCAAGAGGTTTGTGATCTGACTCAACCATGAACCTCTTGCCAAACAAGTAGGAGTGAAATTTCTCTCAAGCAACAACAACAACAGCAAGCATCTCACGCTCAATATTTGCATATCGTTTTTCCGTGTCCGTGAGTGCTCTAGATGCGAAAGCAACAACCTTGCCTTCTTGCACTAACGCACTCCCGAGTCCCCTAAGGGAGGCATCAACCTGGAGGATTGTGTCCTTCTTAGGATCAAAATACGTAAGGGAGACTTGACGGCAGATTGACTGCTTGATTTTCTCAAAAGCTGTACTGTGGGAAGGAGACCAGTGGAAGTCACTGCCTTTCTTAAGCAAGTTCCTCAGAGGCTCAGACAGGGCAGACAGATTTGGAATGAAAGGGGCCATGTATGTTGCTATACCAAGGAAAGACTGGAGTTCTTGGGCATCCTGTGGGACCTGGATGGCTCGGATAGCTTCCACCTTTTCTGGGTCAGGGTGCACTCCTTCAGTATCAAATAACATTCCAAAGAATGTTATCAGTTCTTCTTTAATAATACATTTGTCTAGGTTGAAGACAAGTCCATGCTCCCGCGCGACTAGCATCAGGTTGTGCAAATTGGCATCATGTTCTTCCTCGGTAGGACCATGAACTGCAATGTCGTCAGCAATGCCAACTGTTCCTGGGCATTTCTCAAGGATAAAATCCATCTTCTGTTGGAAAATATCCTGACTAACACAGAGTCCAAAGGGAAGACGAGTAAATCTAAATCTACCAAACGGGCTGTTAAAGGTGGTAAGGTAAGAGGATTCTTTATCGAGCACTACGGACCAATAACCATGACGGGCATCCAGTTTTGAAAATACTGTGCTTCCTTTGAACTTGTGGGTGATTTCCTCTAGGGTAGGTGTATGATGATGGCTTCTCTTGACAGCTTGGTTAAGATCTTTAGGGTCAAGGCATACGCGCCATCGTCCATTTGACTTTTGGGAGTAAGCCACACTTGAAACCCAGTCTGTGGGCTCGGTCACAGGTTTAATGACTCCAAGATGGACCATTTCATCAAGCTCCCTTTTAATATCATCCTTGATGTGTATTGGGCACTTCCGTGGTGCATGAACTACAGGTGGCACATCCGGGTCAGTGACAATGTGGTATTCCCCTTCAAATTTACCAATGCCATCAAAACGGTCAGGGTACAAAGCTTGGAGGTCACCTTTATCCTTAACTGCTGGGAGGGCACTTTGCTAGAACATGTGCCTACTGCACAGTGTAACTCCACCAGGTTAAGTTGGCAACAGGTGGGTAGGCCACAAATAGCGGGGCCGGTGACATCAGCAACATAAAACATTGCATCAGTTGCTTTGTCACCATAAGAGCACCTGATAGAACATACTCCATGCTGGGGTATTTGGGTGCCATTGTATGCAGTCAGTTTGGTCTGACTCGGTGTTGTCTCCGTGGGAAGGCCATTTTCACCCACATGGTGTGGAAACATGTTCCGATAAATTCGCAAAGGCAGAATATTTCCCTGGGCGCCAGTATCTACTTTCACTTTGAGCACAGGGTTAGGATGATCAACATTAGGCAACTTTACTTGGAGCTTTGCAAAAGCTTCATCTTTTACTGGAGTAACATTGGAACTGTCAATTTTAATTGTCTCGAAACACAACTCATCAGAGTCTGAATTTGTCTCCTCAACTGTGTGTATCTTGTTCTGACTTGACTTGGCGTGCGGTATCCAGCCCCAGGCTGCTTCCGGAGTGAAGGTTTAGCTTTCCGATCCTGTGCTTGTTTATTTCTGCACACTTGTTCCCAGTGGTCCCACTGGTTACACTTTCTACACCTTGTACCTTGAGCTGGGCACTTTTTTTTCATGGCTGAGACCACATTTTCCACATCTGAGGTTGGAATTCTGTCTGATAGCATCTACGTTAGTGTCATGAGAACGAGCGGGTGCTGACGCACCTTGTTGGTCAAGGGATTTCATATCATTTACCGTAGCTTCCCTTGTCCGGGCAATGTCCATGGCTTTGTCAAGCTTTAACTTATCATCTTTTCCTAAGAGGACTTCTTGTATCTTTCTTTCGCGAGTACCAATAATTAATTGCTCAATTAACCGCTCCTCTAGTTCGGCGTCACTGAATCGGCATTTCTGGGCTTGTATTTTGCACCTGGCCATGAACGAATCTACACTTTCATCATCAGCTTGTTTGAAGCCTTGTAGTTGGTATCTTGCAATCCGAAAATTTGACTTAGGTTCCAGATATGTTGCAAACTTGTCAAAAATTGCGTCAGGTTTCGCTTTCTCATCAGCGGTCAAGTCAAAAGAGTTAAAGATTTTCCGGCCCTCTTCGCCGATCCAGAGCAGAATATAGGTTGCCTTGACTTTGTCCTCTTTCGCGTTCAAAGGCCCATCAAAGACTAGCTGGCAATATTGTTTGAAGCTTTTAAATGCCATGGGTAAGTCAGAGTCATTCCATTCCATCTGAGGCGGCTTAATTCCCGAAAGCTCGCCCATGTTTGTGAGAAAACTGTGTCGGCCGGTAGAATTGCGATGATACTCGGCTGCACGCTACGAATGGTTGACTTAGTAATCCTGGTTCATCGGGTTCACCTCAATGTTTTATGAGTCAAAACGTCACTCGGCGTGTAGAATCATCCCACTGCTGCCACCATGTTAAAGTATCCTGGATAAACTATGATATGTGACACGAGAGAACGGATAGATGAACACAACCTTTTAATACACACAAGTAGCAAGATGGCGGGCCCAAAGAGACACCAAACTCGGGCCCAGTCCCTGACATAAAGCATACTATAACAGAGGGCAATTACAGTCTTTAATTTAAATGAAACCTGTTTTTGTTGAAGGATTAACATAATACTTTTATTTCTAATTACAGTTTGGTACAGTATTTTCTTGTATTTTAAAAGTCCCATCCCAAAGTCAAATAACGTGGGTAAAATCATAATTTCAATTTAAGTGTAACCCATAAATAAAAACCTGCTTGATTTTGCTTGGCCATATAGGTTCTTTTGATAAATTTCTGGCAGCAAGTTCTTATTCTATTTTGGAAACTGAAAATGATGTTAAGAAATACACTATTTAATTGTAACCCACTGCAGTCTGCAGTAACACAATATTATTACAATACCTCAATAATAAACAGTGATTTGAAAATGTTAATAGATTACATATATAATATTTGCAAATACATTGTCTCTTATGTAATGATGACATGTATCTCTTGCCACATTTAGAAAGAAATTGTCACACATTGATGATAGACTAAACAAGCTTTGCCTTAGGTTTGAGTTAACCATATTCTGGAAAACTGGACATACTATATTAACAATACAAATCTCCACACGTGAGACAAAAAAGTTTCTGAGGCAAGAAACTCAACATTTTTTCTCCTTACAGGTAAGTAGCATCAAAAACATTAAAAAAAGTGAACATTCTGTCTAACCTGTTAGGGAAAAGGTTTAGACCATCAGAAAGTATGGGAAATCAGGGTGAATTATTTACAGTGTTCGACCATAAAAGAAAAGAAAGTCAGTTAACATGACAGTATGTAACTAGTATGTAACATGACTTGCTTATTATCTCTAATTTAGTCGAAAATACTATTATTTATAAAAGTAAGATGTTAATGTTAAGTATTTGTTCATATAACCATAACTATTATGCTGTACAAAAGAAAATATATTATTAGTGATTCCAATACCCGGCCTAACTTGAACCAACTGTTTTGCCTATAAGGGGTGCCAAAGATCAACCATTTCGAAGTGCATATGGCAAAATTGGTGAATTACGAGGATTTGCCCAATGCCCGATGCTTTGTTTGACTGCCACTGCAGGTGTGAAGACCAGGAAAGAAATATTAAAAGTGCTGCATATGAGGGATACAAAAGTTGTGAAGCTAACCCCTGATAAACCCAACTGTAGGTTTGCAGTTGAAAAGGTATTTGATAATGAAAAACAACTTAAATGTTTCCTAGAAGAACTGAAAGAGAAAAAGGAAAAATTCCCGCGAACAATTATATACTGCAGATCAATTGCAGTTTGTGGGGAATTGTTTTCATTGTTTAGACAAGATTTGGAGGGTGTGGCCAATAGCATGTTTGCCATGTACCATTCTAAGACACCACCACAGATTCAAGAAAAAGTTCTTGCTTCTTTAACTGACATTGATGGACTGATAAGATGTGTGTTTGCCACAAATGCCTTAGGTTTGGGAGTGAATTTTCCCAATATTAGAAGAGTAGTCCATTATGGAATACCAAGAGATATGGAAGAATATGTCCAGGAGATTGGCAGGGGAGGCAGAGACAAAGGGAAATTTGATGCTCTTGTTCTTTATAAGCCTTACCATTTAGCCCATTGTGATGACCAGATGAAACGCTATATTCAAAACCCAGGAAATAAGTGTCGCAGGGAATTAATTATGGAGTTCTTCAAAGAGAAACCAGACAGTAAATTGCCCTTTCTTCATGACTGTTGTGACATTTGTACTAAACGTTGTGATTGTGAGAAGGTTGAGATGCACTACAGAATGAATAAATTCACTGAAGCCAGCAGCAACGTGGAAAACCCCTCTCTTGTGAGATCAGTCAGTGATGATGACCGTGCCCTTCTGAAGGAGGTCCTCCTGGAAAATTTGACTGGATCCCATGAGACCTCAATTTTTGGGATTGCTGGAGTAGTGAATTCTTTGGACAAAACTACAGTGGAAAGTATTGTTGAAAAATGTCAATTTGTATTTAGCATTGATTATATTTTAGATAATTTTCCAATTCTCAGTCATGACCTTGCACATAACATATTGGTCATTGTCAATGAAGTTTTTGGTGACATACAGAAAGCAGTGGAATCTTCGCAGTTGCAGTTGAGTGAAATTGACTCTGATTCTTTACTGGTGCAAGTTTCAGATTGGTGTACTGAATTCAGTGACACTGCAGATTCTGATGATAGTGACTCATGCAGTGAAGATCCCATTGACTGTTAATGGTTTTTTTAAATACATATCCAGTATACAAGGAACATTAACTCTGTGTTTGCAACAGGGTATTGTTGGCGTTACGATTATCACTTTTACATGATAGGGTAAATTTTATGCTGGGCTGCAGATTATTTAACAGTACAATGTTGCAACATTTGCCTCAGTGAAGTGATGTGGATGATCGAAGGATTTTTTGGGTTGGAAAATTTTAGCAAGTATTTCTTTGGGTAGCTTGATTTAATTGGGGATTTTTTGGGTATTCAAAACAAACTGAATGTTTGGGATAGTTCCCACGTGTCCCGGCTGCGTAGTTCTGCAAATAAATTTTTAGGGCATAGAAATGCGGCATACGATTTTCGGGGGTTAAATTTTGGTCCAGGGATTTTCTTGGGTTTTGATTTTGGCCCTCATTCAATTATCCCTTTCACTTGAAATCCGGATTCCCCTCACGGGTGTGAGACTCAAATAAATTTTGTTGCATTGAGCTGTTATAGAAACATGCATTGCTGCCTGCAGGGTTCTCATTAAGTGCCAGCAACCTGCGCCTTCTCAATTTTGAGCCAGGTCGCAACTAGAGGCATTGGTCCAATTCAGAAAATGCTGTAAAAATAAAACAATGATCAGGGTTTTTCAAAAACGAACTATACAAACAAAGCAAGACAAGATGAATTGGGGAAATGGTAAGGTGAGAGATTGAAAGCCTGAAATGTCTCCAGCACTCAATTGCCAAACTGCCTACTTTTACATCCTTGCTGTCTAAGTTAAAGCTTAATGAGAACCCTGACTGATTGTCTTCTTTCACTGATGTGACTGTGTATCCACTATGTACCTATGAATATTAACCCATCATTACATATTAGTCCAGGATTATCATCTTCTTCTGCTGACATATTCATGTGGATTCTGCAATCAAAGGATAAAATTATTACAGTTACCATAAAGCAGTGAAGGTTATTTTCATCATTAAGTAGCCAACATGTTCATTTTTTATTTAAATTAAGCCAGTGTCAATAAAAAAATCAGTCATTCATATAAATTCATTTAATTTTTGTAGTCTGTGTAATCAAACACATACTCATGTTCTAATGTCGTACTTGACATTGGACATGTTTGAAAGATTTGGCACAAAAAATTATAAAAAAAACTACTGCCTAGATGGTTTTTGTAGCCTGGCACAGTACAGTAATTGTACTTTTGTTTATGCTATAAATATTAGATCTTGGAATAAAAGGATAGGGAAAAAAGGTAGGTAATTTGAGCATTTTACCATGTAAATTCTCACCAGTCACTTACTATAGAGATGTCTATTCTGCCTGTGCCACTTGCTCTTGTTGCGTTTGATCCAAGCATGGAGCTGTTTCCTGTCAATGGTTGTGAAAATTGGTTGCACATTTGGAAAAGAATTGTATTTCCTCCCAGGAGAGTACTTGAAGACAGCTGCTTTCTGGTGGACTTGATGCAGAACACGATTGAATACATCTTGTCTTGTTTTGTTTGCATGGTGTGTTTTCCTCTTTGACAACCCCAGATCTTTGTTTGATTTTTGCAGCAGCTCCTGAATTGGACCAATGCTTCTTGTTGCTGAGATAATGTTCTGATTGTTAATGTTAGGAAAACCAAGTGCCTTTATTTCTTCCTTTCCTATGAGATTGTTGTTCTCCAGTAGCAGATCACGAGAAAGCCTCCTTCCTGTCCCTGACTCTCTCGCAGCAAAGCGGTTCCATTTCAGTCTGTGAGACTGACGTGGGCTTAACAAGGCCAGATGAGATGCCGTAAGTCGTAAACCAGCCAGTGCATACTTGTTGTTCCCTCCTGCCCGGTACAAAAAGGTGAGGAATTTCCATACACGAGATAATCTTTCCCCGTCTCCTTCACGAACAGCATCATCAGCATCTCTCAGAAGCAATCCAAGGCTAAGAGTCAAACATCCATAGTCATATATGCCATCTGACTTTATCTTCTCTTCTGTGTGGTCTCGGTGTTCAGACTGCTTTTCAGGTCCATTGGCTGGATTGGGTAAGTCAAGTCCATGAACATTTAATTCATGCTTTAGCAAACACTTCATGTAAAAGAACTTTCTGTTGCAGCCTGGGTGCCTGCAAGGATGTTCCACTTTAGGTGGTGCAGGAGCAGAAAATTCTTCTCGTATTGAGTTTAGATCGGTTACACCATCCATCACAAATTTGTCGATCATGTGACCAGCATGCTTATGTAACCACTGACGCTTTTCTGTCTGGTTAGCCCATTTTAAGGATGGTTCAAAACTGTTGATGGTGGGTGTTGAGTTTACATTTTCCATTCCAAAGTACTCTAGTGCAGCTGATGTGATGAATGCATCCAAGTTAATTGCAAAAAACTCCTTTACTTTGTCATAGTTGTCCATGACATTAAGTAATCCATTTTTATTGCCAGAAACAATGGCATTGGATGCATACGTCCCCCAGTCCATAAGAGAGTTCGGCTTGTTCAGTGTTTTCAACACGGTCTGAAAAAGAGGTTTTAAATCAATTTGCGAATAGAAAATCAATTTACTTTTTCTCCTTGGTATGTCCATGTGATACCTACATTTATGGATACTATAAGAGGATAAACAACATCTGACATATATCATTTTATTGATGAGCATGTTAGAGTATGATGAGAGCAATTTAGATTTTTTGGGGTCTTGTCCTCCCTATGCAAAGAAATTAATGTGTCCAATAGTTTAGAGCTAGTGAAGTTTGCAAATGGAAGGGATTCATGTTACAGAAGTACTGTAAGACACATTGTTTTTATGGGAATGTCAAGCCCTGTGAACCAGCATCCCAGTAAAATATAGTTTCAGTATAGAATGATGAATCTAACATCGCAAATTATCTCTTCTATTTTGTCCTTTTCTTTTTATTGACATTTGCTTAATGTAACTTGCCAAAAAAAAGCTTTACTATAAGCCACCAATTAATCAACTTACATCATATGCAATCCTGATGGCATGCCAATCCTCATTCTTTGGCCACAGTCCCTCAAGTCTTTCTTCCTTTGTTCTTCCGTCTTGTCTAGCCATTTGCACATTCCTCGCCCTCTCTTCGGTCAATTGGTCCCCCCCAAAGAAGACTGTCTTCAATCCTTTTTCCTTGTCTGATCTAGGCACATACTTTTCCTGTATTGTTTCCATGATGTCTATCATGTCATCGTTAAGGTTCTCATTTTTAGGAAGAACACCCAGAGGAACCTGAAAATTTAAAGAATGAACTTGTAAACTTTTTTTCTTTTTTTAGTAAGATAGGATACTGGGACACTTTGTCAGCGATAACATTGTACTAAATTTGATATTGTGTAATTCCAGACAATATCCATACTCCCCCCACAGAAAGAACTGGAAATTCCTGGTGGGGGTGAGGGGTTGTTGGTTGGTTGTTGGTTGTTGGTTGGTTCCCAAAGGCCCAAAATTTTAAGTAAATGTATGAAGCTTGACTGGAATTTCCAAAGAGGAGGGCAGTCTAAGGAAAAATCCCTTCCGTGGGGGAGGTATGGATAATTTTTGGAATGAATTTACATATGCCGGCCAATGCCCTAAGATTTCCTCTGCATCCCATTATTTTCTCTTGGTGTTTAGTAGGGGTATGTCAACACAAAAGATATCCCAAAGCTTAGTCTGCAGCAGGAGTCTGAAGTAATCAGCAAAAATATAAATAATCGCCACGTTAAAACTGGGAGTGAGAGGCACGTGGTGCCAGCTTCACTGTACAACATGGAGCATTAGTAGGTGCCATATGTTGTACAATAAAGTGGAAACTGGTCTGTTCTCACAGTTTTGGTATTTGTGGAGAGTATATCCTTTCATTCATCAAGTGGCTAGAAAATATATAATAATAATAATGATTCTTAAATTATTATTTTCAGTGAAATAGTTTGAACCTGGATTTTTTGCCTATGTATTTGGACACCCTCAAAGGGTGCAGAAAAATGTAGGCTACTTGAGGCAGAACCTCCCCTTGTAAAATGCTGTTGAGTAGCCCCTTTGACTCTAAAAACCAGCACAACCATAATGGGGTGCCAGCTGCCACTTAAAGTGAGATATTTACAACCACGTAGCACATATCTTGCACAATAATGTAAGTAAGAAATCTAAATACTGTAAGCAGCCTAGAGGGTGCGATATATTCCTCAGCTTAGCTTCAGCCTAAGTGGGACCATAAAAAGGAGTTAGTTTTCTCATACCAGTTATTTATTAGTTCTATTTAATGTTTAAGTGACTTTATTAATCTCACCACTTTTGATGGCTGCTGCATTACGGCACTGTATTCATGTGGAATGTGCCACACGACTACAGGCCTGAACAAACTGAACTTCTCTAACTGCGTGACCAATACACGTGTCCAGATTGGAATGAAATCTCGTTTGAGGAGATCTATGTCTCTTGCGGATGGAAGGAAATCTGCTACCTTAATTTCTTCTAGTGTGATTGTGCTGTGGTCTGGAAGGCTCTTGCCAGACACATCATCCTTTATGGCAACTATATTAAACATGTGTAGAGAGTTATTCCTGTTGTCATTGGACATGTGTTTCACATTGATGTGAAGATCCAGATTGTCGCCGATAATCTGGTAACCTGGGATGTTTTCTTCAACCTTTTTCTTTGCGATGTTGCAGGCTTCAATTGGGTGACATACACCTTCTTCAATTGCAACAGCGACCACTGTTTCAAAGCACTCCATAACTTCTTCCACAGAGTATACAGTTGCTTGATTCTGAAACACGTTTTGTACCACCTCATATGGTGTGGTCACCTGACAAGCCAGCTGCAGACAGGACACATCCAGTGTTGTGATTTCATTTTCCAATCGATCAGGCAATGCCAAACACATTTCTTTTCCAGCTTTCTTTTGGAGGATGACGTCCTTAAATTCACAAATGGTAGGCTGAATGCCAAGATACATGGTGTCTTTTAATGAGGTTTCTATTGAATCTAGGATTTCCAACTTTCTCTGTGAGTTCTCATTTTCATTCTTCCACTTCAAAACTTCACGATCATGTTCCAGCCCCAACTGTTGTGCCTTCCTGTGTATTGTATCTGGATGTGGACACACCCCATGCCTGTAAAGGGTTTCGAGGCCCTGAAATAGTAAACTCCAATTTTAATCACATGTTATGTATGATCATTTTAATCTAGTGTATGCCCCTTGTTGTTCTTTATAAATGTGACTTGATTATAGTCTACAACATTCCCCTTGAAACAGTTTTGGTGCAGGTTCTACATTTATTTTATTCTGCCGATAGACATAGTTAATAAAGAAATGAACTTACCATTCGACCTGATCCGGAATGCCTGACAATCAGCCCAATTCGAGTGGATAAAGCTGCTAGCTGTGGACAACGACAGTAGAGTATCATTGATGCTACTGTAAGCCGTACGGATGTAGCCCTCTCTGCCCTCGTTTCTGATACTTCAGCGCTCCCTGAACGTTTGTGTTTCTTCTGCCGGGACGATGTGCACAGCATATCCAAGAGATCATTGGTGACAGGGGCCTTTGTTCTCAACTCGTCTTCAAACTCTTTGAGATTTAATGCCGTCACGCTTTTACGCAGTAAACTGTTATTCTTGGAAGAGCAAACGGACTGCATTTCTAACTCCATCTCTTCAAACAAAAGTTCCTTAAGATGAACTTTCATCGTTTTTGATTGCAACAGAACCTTGCAAGCAGCTTTGGGTAGATCCAGAGCGAGATATTTGACTGCATCTGCATACTCATCACTAATTACCTTCTTCTTTTTCTCCGATGGAAACGTGATGGTTACCTTAAAAAATAGTCAATCAGTCTCAGAGAGGCACTTTTCCCTGCGGTCATTGGGGATTGGGAATTAGAAGCAAAACACTATGAAAAGCAACCCACCAAGGGCGTGGCTACCCATATGCTCGTGCGTACGTTACAAGTGTCAGGGATCATTATTCTTTTTACAGTATTTAATTGATATAGCTCCTTATTGAGAAATTTAGTAACAGCCTGCGAATCAAAAAGACGTGGATAATCGATATTAAATTTAGATTTTAACCTTAAAGGTGACCAGTAAGTTTCAATTTAGCCCCAAAGGAGATCACACTAAGACAGATTTTCAATTGGAAGTGATAGAGGATTTCACGTGCACTATCGATGTTGACATTCAAAGCTATCTAACAAAATTACCATATCACTGCTGTAATACTACTGTTTAGTTTGGCATTGCTTATTTCGCTGTACGGCTTTTTTGCCATAACTGGTTGGTTTTTGTTGCAATTTGTGATAAAAGCATAGTAAAGCTGTTCGTTTCATTTCGTTTTAGAGTATGATGGGTATTGTCGAGTGTAAACGAATGTTTTTGGTTATTCAAAGGGGGTCCAATAATACCCCCAGGCGAGACGACCTGCATCCTTGCCCCTTCAGCGACATTACAATCCTTCTAAGAAAACGAGGAAGAGGGGTACCCCACCCATGACCCACTATTATGCTCAAGTTATATTCTGCGCGCCTTACGCTTACATTCGGCACGGTTTGGGACCTATTAAGGTATCAGCCACCCTTAAAATTGCCATTTTTCCATATTTGAGATTTCAACGTTTTCAAATAGGTATGCTTGAGAGCTTTCTTTTAAAAAAAAAATCAGAAGAAAATATTATTTCTGTCGAAAGATATCGGGGGTAAAAGATTTTTTCTCGTTAACTATCTTAATTGATCGTTGACAAGATCTGTCATACCCGTGTCATATATCAATTAACTTGCCTGTGAACTAGTAACGTGATACCGAGTGCGTGCTTCGACACAACACGAGAATGATCAAGAATATCAGGCTGTGTTCTATTCGCATTAATTCCTTACAGGATGAGTTTTCGACAATCTACTTTGGAACATCATATAAAAACCAAGACCTTCAAACATTACACAAGTGCAAGAAGTTTCGCGCCTCTGTCGGTGGCGCACGGTAACGCTTGCATCTGATTGGTTTAGAGTGTCATTGACTGCTGGTACAAACGGGAATGGATCAGAAACTGACGTGAACTCGAAGGTCGCTGCTAAAAGCTAAGCTTTTTTCCACTACTTTGATTCGAGATGCCTTAGAAAAATAATGTATAGAATGAGCTGAAAGTGGAAAAAAAAAGGTTACGTGGCGGGTAACAATTCTCCCGAAGGAAGTAATAGACAACACTGGTCACAAATGATTTTGAGTTTCGTTTGACGAACGACTTCTTTCGTTCTGGAATGACAACCGTGTGTTTTGTGGCAGATTACAACGTTTTTGGGCATGGAATAGCAAATGTAACAGAAGAAATTAACAGGTTCTTACCGAATTAAGAATGTGTTTTGCCTTCATCGAACGTCACCTGCGCGGCTTACAATGGTGGAAAGGTAAGCTGAAAGCCTAGTTTTATAGTACTCAGTTATATTTGCGATGTGTTTCTTTCATATGGAACTAGCATATATTTTAGCATACTATGATTAAATAATCTTTGAGCTGTAATGTCGTCGTTAAACAATTGCTTTAAAGGCCAATCAGAGATAACACCGATAAAAGCTTCCCGCAATTGGACAACCGGCTTTTCCGGAGTGAAGTTAGGTTTCTTCGTAATAGAACTTGCACTTGAAGTGGGCTATTAATTTTTTGCTTCAGTGTTTTGATATGGTTGAACATAAATGCCAAAGAAAGATTTCTTCAGAAATATCGCTTGTATGCTCATTAATGTTTATCTATTACATGGACAAACAGTTGATGCATAAATATGAGCTTTAATAGGCTGAACCGGCTATGGAGTACATAAACGATCTAGTTAACTTAAATGATGTCGGCGGCGATTTATAATATTTCTTTGATTGTTATCCTTTTGGTTTTTAAACTTACTTGAATCTCTCCTTCGCCATTCTTCTTCCTTTTCTTCCTTGGAAGTTCCGGGCTGTCTTTTCTTGGATAAAATCGCTTTAGATAAGCGTTTCGCCAGTGTGTTGTCAAACTTTCCACAGAATTTTTCCTTTTATGTATGGTGTCAATGCTCCTGTAGCAGCTTTTGCATAGGCGAAAAGACGGTTCATGTTTCACTGTAGTCTTCAAAACTTCTCTAAGTTTTTCTAATACTTCTCTACTAACCCGGAAAAAACTATTGTTTGGAGCAATGTGCTCCCCACAAAGTAAGCACGACTTACTAGAATAATTATTTAGGTTATCAGAAGGAAGATAAGCCGAGGACATCGGTGGCTTATTTTCCTTTGATAAATTTTCGGCCATATTAAAATCCGGAAAAAAAAAACACACAAACAAACGCGCCAGCAGATCAGAGTTGTCGCAATTTTTTTATTCCCGCGAAACTCGCGCCATTTGACGACAGACTTGACGATTAAATTTGCTTGCGAATCGCGTGACGAATTTCGCGCATGCACGATGGAAAATTGAACGGTTGTCGGCAGAGGCTACTTTTCGCACGCCAGCTCATACCGCGAAAATGTAGCCTCTGCTCGCAGGGTAAGCAAAACAAAGTACCCAATAAAAAAGGAAGCTAACTCTCTCTGTCGGCGATTCATGCATAGCCCTAGTATTTAAACCGTGACTGCTTATTTGTGTTATTTACTACCCGAAAGTGACTTAAATCCCTGGGGGGGGGGGTGCTCTTGGGGGTTCTTGGTAGGGGTGTGCCCCCCGGTTCTCCAAGTCCTGACGGTTTTTAGACCAAAAAGGTGCAAAGGCCATACCCCTTTGGGTGGCACATACCTAGTTGGCTTATATAAGGGGGACTACTGCCCGGGAGAAAACCCATGTATCTTAAAAATAAAACTTGTCCATTGGCCTGGGTGCCTTTAAATGCTTCATTTGGTCGATACACTTTGAAAAGGAAAGAATTGGTTTAAAGGGTTGATATTAAACCAAATCAGTTCAAAGGCGGGTAAATAAAAATTTGCACGACTCTTGTCAGTAAGCGAAAAAGAGAATAATTTTAATTTTAGTACGTGGATGGCAGTCTAAGAAGACAGCTTGTCACAATATTTTTTCTACTTTCTATTCTCTAACACCCATGTCCCATTTTAGTCTATTTGCTCATTAGGATAATGCTCGTAAAACTAATTAAAGTTTGTATTCAACTGTTCAGGAAGCTGCTGCCTCCCGATTCTTTGCTGAGTATGAATAACAGTTGAGCTGGTGTATATTTCCTTATATAATCAGACTTTGCATGATATAGTTCAGGGAATGTGTATCCCATTTCTTTGCTGGGTTCGAGACCCAGTTGACTCCTAAGTATATATTATTGTTTAATCAAAGTTTTTATGTGAAAGTTAGAATATATCATAGGGCATCAAACATAATGCCCTTGCATCCTAATTGTTGCTCCCACAGGTTTAAAACTGGAGTATTCCTTTGCATGTTTGAGAGGGCAGCATTATGTCTAATTCCATTATTTTTATCATGCAGTTTGAATTTTACAGTGTAGTTTGTTTTGACCATGAATTCTGGTATCTTCTACACTGTGTTGCTATCTAGACTGCTTAATGTATATAAATAGAATAAAATTATTTTAATATAGTATTTACCTTTCTTGTTTCTTGATGGTCAAATCTTTTAAATTGTGCCTCTGATCTCTTGGCTTATCTCTAGGTGATAAAGAAATGAACTTAATTAACTTACGGTCTCATATTTTCAGGAAAATAAAACTGAAGCCTTTGTAATTTCGAAAAGCCTCAAGTTCCCCTAGGATGACCGAACAGATACAAATTTTATAGCCCCGCTTCAAGAATGCATTTCTAGAGATTTAAAAGTACAGTACTGTAGTGTACAAGGTTCTCATTAAGTGCCGACAGCCGGCTAAAAACTGGCTACTTCGAGTTTTGAGCCGCCTACTTTTTTGGAAACTACAGAAAGGTGCGAAAGATAAAGTCCGAAATCACCGCCTACTTTTACATCCTAGCCATCCACTCGATAAGGAGAATTCTTTCATAATTTCAACACAATTAAGAGGAAATCGTCGGGTGCCCCCTGAAAATATGTGTCCCTTTCTGTCTGTCCTGACCTTCTATTTCTATTGACTTCTTTGGTATTTGGGTTTTTATATTGCAGAGTCCTTTCTTGAAATTCTTGTAGGTACTATTAAGCTTAAATTAGGTTTGCACTGCTACACTGACTGTGAGCGATGGAAGATCCAAACTAACACAGTTCCACGCCGCCATATTGGCCGGCACACCAGTAGACCCTGGAACGAGGATTCCTTCGTGGTTTATACCACAGGCTACCCACACAATCTGCTTGTTGGTAAATGAGCCTTGCTTCGAATTCATCTTTACAGTTAGCTTTCCCGCAGACGTCCGTTGGGGTTCGTTTGCCACGCATTCACAACGAACCCCAACGGACGTCTGCGGGGAGGCTACTTTACAGTAAGCTACAGCAGGGGCGGATCTAGGGGGAGGGTGCAGGGGGCGCCCCCCCCCCCCCCCCCCCCCCTTTGAGATGACCTGCGGTTTTCTAATACAACTGGTATTCCGCAAAAAAAAAATGTGGCTTATTGGTGTCGAAGTAGAGCAAGAGACGAGTGCACCCCCTCCTAAAAAAATCCTGGATCCGTCCCTGTACAGTAGCAATATATCGCCAACTATGTGATATAGATTGATGTTAAATAAACAATGTACTACCTTACCTAATGTATATTGTTGTCTTTTTGCCTTCAAAAAGGTATTTTCAGCGATTTTGACTGATTTTGTGTTCGCCTGGATGACTGCGTAAAAAGTAAAGACGAAAACAGTTACCAAATGAGCCATTTTGCAAAGTCTGTACTCTGACACAGGAAAAAA